GGCAAAGTGAGTTAAATTCAATTTGATTTAAATATAATTAAGACCACTGTCTTGGGAGCCACTCAGTTTGTGTTCAAAGATTGCCTTCAGTCCAATGCATGGCTGGTCACTTAATACTTGTTTAAATATGAAAAATTACTCAACCTTTTATGCATTATCATTATCATTTAAATGAATACAATAAGGAATTAAACTCAAGATGTCCTTGAGAGGCAATAATGAATATATTCTATACTGTCTACAGCGGTTCCCGATAGAGGAACAACATGCAAGTATTTGCTTTTATGAGGCTTGGAAAAAGTGAATTGGCAGGTGTATCCATTCTGGACAAGCCATTTATCAAGTAATTGTACACATCTCAGTTTACAAACTTATACACTTTAAAAACTGGGGAGATGACCCATGAAGATCCTTCAGATTTAACAGTATGTAGGTCTCTACACAATTAATGGAGTAAGTTTTGTTGACAAGAGTATTTGTATCTGGAGAATCTAGAAATACCAGTCGTCACTATAATGAAATAAGACATTTTGTATGTACACTTTTCAGTTTAAGTTTCTTTATCACTGATTCTGTCTTCTCCTAGCCACAGGGCGTTCTGGGACTCTCTGCATTGATGAGGAACAGTACAGAAGTGACAGAGTTCATTCTCCTGGGACTAAGCAATGACCCAGAACTGCAGGTTCCCCTCTTTATAATGTTCACGCTCACCTACCTCATCACTCTGATTGGGAATTTGGGGATTATTATGTTGATTGCAGTGGACTCTCGTCTCCACACTCCCATGTACTTTTTCCTCAGTAACTTGTCTCTGGTGGATTTTTGTTACTCCTCAGCTGTCACTCCCACAGTCATGGCTGGTTTCATCTCAGGAGACAAGGTCATCTCCTACAATGCATGTGCTGCTCAGATGTTCTTTTTTGTAGCCTTTGCCACTGTGGAAAATTACCTCTTGGCCTCAATGGCTTATGACCGCTATACAGCAGTGTGTAAACCCCTGCATTACACCACCGCCATGACAACCGGTGTGTGTGCTTGTCTGGCCACAGGCTCTTATGTCTGTGGTTTCCTGAATGCCTGCATCCACATTGGAGATACGTTCAGTCTCTCTTTCTGTGGTTCCAACGTGGTCCATCACTTTTTCTGCGATGTTCCAGCAGTCATGGTTCTCTCTTGCTCAGACAGACACGTTAGTGAGCTGGTTCTTGTTTATGTAGTAAGCTTCAACATCTTATTTGCTCTTCTGGTTATCTGGATATCCTACATATTCATATTTATCACCATCCTAAAGATGCACTCTTCTGCAGGATATCAGAAGGCTTTATCCACCTGTGCTTCCCACCTCACTGCCGTCT